AATTCTAGGGCTATTTGATTTTAAGCCTTACCCCTTTACTTACTTTTATATTCAACTTCTCACTTTCTATGAAACTTCCCCGCCCCCCAGCTGTTAAACACAGTTAAATCTCTTCCCTCACTAACAAACAAATCCTTTGACAATGCACTGCCATCTAGCATTCTTTTTTTTTATTGCTTAAAGTATTACAAAGGGTATTACATATGTGTCCATTTTTTCCCCCCGCCCTAGACAGTCCCCTAGCCTCCCCTATCCCCCAGTGTGTTATGTCCATGCTTATATGCATAGCATTCTTTTTTTTAGGCAAGTTTCTCAAACAAATGGTCATGGTAGAATGGTCACTACTAGTTGTTTCCATTTCTCACCCCTGATTTAGTTCTTAATTCACTACCATCTGGGTTCTACCGCCAGTGCCCTACTGAAATTGCTCTCATTTAGGTAATTGTTAAATCTACTAGAGTCACTCAGACCTTATCTTATTTGACCGTCCTACTATATTAAACACTGTAAACCACTGACTTGCTCCTCTTGGAAAATTTTTAACAACTTTTAATTTATTGATTGGTGAGAGAGAGAGATATATCAATTTGTTGTTCCACCCATTTATGCATTTATTGGTTGATTCTTTTATGTGCCTAGACTGAGGATCAAACTGCAACCTTGGCATATAGGAAAACACTGTAAACAACTGAGCTCCATGGCTAGGGAGGAAACATTTTTTTTATTCTTTCCCTTCAGCTCATTAACTCTTATATCCTTGCCTTCTCTTTCTAACTCTCTGACCACTCCTTCCTGCTCTCCTTCACAAGCTTCTCTTCCGGGCCCTGCCTGTCCTTTAATTTTTTTTCTCAAAGGGAAATAGTTATATTTTTTCTGATTAAAAAATAACATATGCTTACTGTTTTAAAAATTATAAATAAAAACATAAAATCCAACTGAGACGCCACTACACAGAGGTAACCACTGCCAACATTTTAATTTCTATCTTTCTCTTTAAAAATTATAATATTCAGTAATACAAATACTATCATATTACAGTACTTTTACCAGCTTTTTTCATGAGTATCAACAAGCATAGAATATTATTTGAAATGGATACATAGGAGAATCCCGAATTTGGCCACTTACACAACAGACTTTTATTTATTTTTAAAATTTTATTTTATCGCCCAGCTGGAGTGGCTCAGTGGTTGAGCATCGACTTACGAACCAGGAGGTCACAGGTTCTATTCCGGGTCAGGGCACATGCCCAGGTTGCAGCCTCGAATATCACTGCAGGGGGTGTGTAGGAGGCAGCCAATCAATGATTCTCTCTCAGCATTGATGTTTCTATCTCTCCCTCTCCCTTCCTCTCTGAAATCAATTAAAATATAGTTTTTAAAACAAGACTATAAAAAAATAAAATTTTATTTTATTGTTGTATTACAGATATCTCCCATTTTCTCCCTTTTTGCCCCCTCCACCCAACCTCCACCACACCGCAGACCTTCTCATGCTATTGTCTGTGTCCATGGTTTATGCATGTATGTTTATATGTTCTTTGATTAATCTCTTCCTGTCCTCTTCCCACCCCCACTGAGATCTGTTATTCTTTTCCATGCATCCATACCTCTGGACATATTTTGAGGAGGCTTCATATATATGTATTTTAAAATTTATCTTTATTGTTGAAAGTATTACATACATCCCCTTTTCCCCCCTTTGAGGCCCTCCCCCTGCCCCCCCGAGGCCTTCACCTCATTATTGTTTGTGTCCATGAGTTATGCATAGAAGTTTTTTGGTTAATCTCTTCCCATTCCCTCCTTCCCCCTTCCCTCTCTGCGATTCGTCAGTCTGTTCTATGCATCCAAGCCTCTGGGTCTATTTCGTCAGTTTATTTTGTTCATTAGACTCCACATATAGTGAGATCATATGGTACTTATCTTTCTCTAACTGGCTTATTTTGCTTAGCATAATACTCTCCGGGTCCATCCATGCTGTATCAAAGGGTAAGAGCTCCTTGTTTTTTGCAGCCGCATAGTATTTCATGGAGTAAATCTTTTTTATCCACTCATCTACTGATGGGCACTTGGGCTGTTTCCAGATCTTAGCTATTGTAAATAACGCTGCTATAAACATAGGGGTGCATATATTCTTTCTGATTGGTGTTTTAGGATTCCTAGGGTATATTCCCAGAAGTGGGATTACTGGGTCAAAGGGCAGATACATTTAAATTTTTTGAGGAATCTCCATACTGTTTTCCATAGTGGCTGTACCAGTCTGCATTCCCACCAGCAGTGCACTAGGGTTCCCTTTTCTCCACATCCTTGCCAGCACTTGTTGTTCATGAGACTGAGTTTTATGATAGAAGTGACTGAGATACAAAATCTGTAAAATATAGAGCCCACTACTCCTTTGTAAGACTTGTCATATAAACAAATTCACAAATTAGGAAAAATGGCTTTAAAATATTACATTGTATAAAATGAACAATTATTTACTTATAAAGACAACATCTGTATTCTGATATTTTTGTGTGATTATCTGATTATTTTCTCAGGATAAATTAATTTTAAATTCATCTTTATTGTTGAAAGTATTACAGATATCTCCCCTTTACCCCATCAGGATAAATTATTGAAAGTGAAAATTTTGAGTCAAAAGCTTTCATAAATACCATTAAAATATTTTAAAAATACAAAAATATTTAAACATAAGTGAGAAGAAAATGAGTAACAATTCTCCCTGTTATCTCTGTCTCCTGTTCTCTAGTTTTGCTCTCCAGAGACAACCAGTATTACAAGTTTCTTCAGGTCAAAGGATTAAAAAAAAATACATACTGCCAATTTGCCTCCCAGAAAGATTGTACAGATTTACGCTCTTATCAACTCCGCATGCCTTCACCAATTGTAAATCCTTTGTCCTTGCCTCTTCACATTTTTCCTTCAACCCCATGTGCTGACTTCCAAATCTCTATCTAACCCTAATCACACCCTTGAGCTCCAGGCCAGTATTTCCATCTGCATGCTGACAATCTCCACCTGGATATCCTATAGACACCTCAGATTTATCTAACCTCAGCTCATTGTCTCCCCTCTCAAACGTACTTTCTCTAATTCCAATGTTCAGTGTTCCTTGGTGGTGCCAGCATCCACTTAGCTACCTAAATGAGAAACCTTGGAGTCATTTTAAAGTTCCTTCTCCCCTCAATAATAGCTAATAGTTACTGAACATTTGCACATATTTTATTGAATTCTCATAAAAGCTCCAGAAGTAGCTTTTATTTTTATAATTTCCATTGTACAGATGAGGAAAACTGCTTGGATAACTTGCTCAATGTTATACAGCTAGGAAACAGGGCTTTAAACCCCCGTAGCCTAAGTCCATAGCTCATATGCTTAAGCCCTATACTACATCTAATCAGATACAAGTCCTATCTATTTTATTTATTCACAGTGCTATCTCTACCCTTTTCTCCATTCCCACAGTCACCACCTATTCCAAGTGTTATTGGCGATGCTCTCATAATTAGTCACATTTGATTCAAATGTATCTTCCATCTTGTCTGAAAAAATAATCCTTGTAAAACACAAATCTGATCATATCTTTTTCCTGTGAAGATACTTCAGTGTCTCCCTATTACCTACATCATAAAGCCAGAGATACTTTGCTTAATAAAGAAGGATCACCCTCATCTGCCCATCCCTAGCCAGCCTACTTCTCTAAGAACTTCCATAACATCCTTTGAATTTACGATAATTGCTTAAAAGTAATCATGCTGTAGCTTATTGGATGACTTTGCATGTTACTCTCTCCGCAGAAAATTACCTTTCCCTATTTACACTCTGATTTATCCTTTATGTGTGTCAAACTCAGGTGTTTCCTCCTCCTGGAAGCCTTCCCTAATTCCTCCAATTATTCATGTCCTATGTGCTGCTTTGAACATTTACTTATTTTGTATTTGCTACATTATATTAGTTTTATTTACTTCTCTCTCTTTCTAGAATGTTAACTCTTTGAGGGCAGTGACTCTCTTATTCAACTCTAGATCTTTAGTGTTTAGCATAGTGCCTGGCACACAGTAGTTGCTTAATAGATATTCGTTAAATTGAATTAAATAACTTGTAAAATTAGAGGGCCTTGTACTCTTTGAAAGAATTTCAGCCATCAGATACAGGAAATATTTTCTGAGCAGAAGGCAGGTGCAGGGAGGGAAAAAGAATGACCTAAAATCACCACCCTTAATGTGGGGCACTACTTTTTCATGTGAACCATGTGTAAGTTAGTCATATATTCATGTTTCTATAGACATTCTCATGTAGACATGTATTCTATCTCCATTATGGGCTGCAAGTAACCTCATAGTCAAGTATGGAGTTCTGCAGAGTAGAGATAGAAGGTATGAAATAAATGCCTCAATTTGCTGAGAAACATATCTGAATACAGCTTGGGTTCACTTTTATGTGGTCACAAATTGAGGATGAAGATAATGCCCAAATTTTCCTGAAAAGTGAGAATAAGAAATCCTCTTTGTTCACCCCATCCTCGCTGCTTCCCTGGCACAATAGATAGCACTCACTGTGTGATCAACTGCCCATGGCAGGAATTGAAACTATCAGTGGCACGAGTAGCAGGGCTGCGTTTTAGGTTCTCACTACTGTTGTTGGAACCCCACCCTCTGGAGACCACCCTTCTACTTTCCCACAAAACCCTGACCCGTTCAGGTCACGGGGCTTCGGCCTATCACTGTAGGACCCTAGCGTGCAGGGCAGTGCCACTGCTGACTGATACATGCCCGGTCTGAGACAATCTCTTGGGTTGAGGAGCAGCAATTGGCATGTCCCGCCAGTAGGGCCTCCCAGGATACTGAGTGGCGCGTTCTGGCCACAAACACCGCCCGGAAGTCTGAATGAAGTCTCCGCAGTACAGGACCCCAAGCCGTCAGCGAGGTAGCTAGCTATTCAGTGGCGGGCCTGGGGCCGGGCGACGTGCGTGCGCGTACGTGAGTACGTCGTGCGTGGGCGCGCGCGTGCGCGGTGCTGCAGTCTGTGGGTTGGCTGGTTATTTTGCAAGCGGGAGGGGCCGTGCGCGCTCCTGCCTCTGGCCTGTGTCCCCCACCCCCTTCCCTGGTCCCGGTCTCTCCTTCGGAAACATGTCGGACACTGCTGTCGCTGACACTCGGCGCCTTAACTCGAAGCCACAGGACCTGACCGACGCTTATGGGCCGCCAAGTAACTTCCTGGAGATCGACATCTTTAATCCACAGACGGTGGGCGTGGGCCGCGCGCGCTTCACCACCTATGAGGTTCGCATGCGGGTGAGTCACGGGGTGAGGGAGACAGCTGAGGGGAGGACCGGCCAGCTGGGCGGGGAGGGCGGGGGGAGACTGCCGCGGGGTTCCTAACGGTGCAGAAGACGCTTGAAGGGGTCTTTGGGAACTCGGGGCTGAATAGGTTTGGAGAGAGGTCTGTAGACTCGGTTGTGATCCGAGGTTACAGAAAACTCCTAAGGGGACATCAGAGCTGCGTGAGGGAAAACAAGTACCCATGAGCAAGAAGTGAAGCATGGTTGGACAGGTTGGGTGGATGGAGAAGCTTGAGTGAGCAATGTAAGGAAATAGGAATCGTGACTGTAGCAACAGAGGAGGGAAGGAAACGTGGAGGAGGGCTGGGGGGTAGAAAGCCAAGGCGAGATATCACTGGGACCCCTAACTAAATTAGGTTGTGCGAAGTTAGTCTGAAGAGGGAGGACAGGAAGGCCCGGTTTCTTCCTAATGAGGTCTTCCTGAGATGATAAAGTTAAGCAAAGCTTGGATTAAAGGGAACATAAGATTCCAGGAAAGGGAGACAGTGGGCTTGGTGGTACAAAAATAATAAAGGGAGTCTCCTTGAGATTGAGTGCTTCCCAGACTTGTGTAGAATTAGCATATGAAGGAGAAGTGTTTTCAGTTTAAGTTTTCTCAGGTGCCACATGCTGTTTCTCAGTGTGAAACCAGGCCTTGCACTGGGATTGGTGGATTGTCAGTCGCTGCTCTCATGCTGTATTTAACCTTTAGATTTGAAGTATACAGAATGTTAATTTCAATATTTATTGGCTTTAAATTATTGGTTTTTTTGTGTATATGAATGGCCGTTAGCCCTTTCTGTCCTAGATTAACCTTTGGATTCAAACCCTGGTCTGTAGTTACTTTAATTTATGACATTTCAGGACTGCCCCAGGAGTGGCTTTTTCCAGTGTACTTTATTCTCCAGTTCTTAGTCCACAATGCAAGGATGGAATGTGCAGGTAGAGTATGTGGTTTGCAGGTTCTTTGCCAGTTGAAGTAGTTACAGGCAAAAGAGTTTGAGAATCCTTTTCTAATTCTCCTTATGTTTTCTTCTCAGACTAGAGGGCCAGAATATTCTCTGTGGACAGCATGCTGCTCAAACAGCATTTGAAGACCTAAAAGAGTGTATGTGCTTTCATTTTTGAATGAATGAATTGAAAGAGAGCATGTGCTCTCCTACCTGGCTATTGAAATCTAATTGAGAAATGATGATCTCCAAATTCCAAGTTTGATAAAGTTCAAACTGAAGAAAGAAAAGCGAATAGCAAAAAAATGAGACAACTCATCTATACAAGAACTATTTGAAATCATCTTTTTGGGGAAGAATGGAAGTTAGATCCCTCAAAATATGGTAAAAGCTAGGAAGCCTGGGTATAACTTGTTCAGTGTAAGGCCTCTGCTATGGAATTTTGGAGACATTGTCTTGATACATTACCTAAGAAACTTAGAGAGTATGAATGAAACAGCTGTCTACTTCAGTCATAATAACAACAGGGACTGTTCATTTAATGCCTACTATGTGCCCAGCACTGAATTAGATTTTAGTTTCCAAATCCTTACAAAACAACATTTTACACATAAGAAACTGATGAGGAATGCAGCTTAAGTAACTTACCCAAGTTCACATAGCTAATAAGTAGCAGGGCTGGGATATGAACCCAGTTCTGTCTGACTCTAAAGCCCATCATACTCTTTCCACTACTTTGTAGTTTCTTTGGCAATGCTTAGTTGCAAAACTTTAGTGTGAAGTTTTTCTACCAACAGCTTTTTATCATTTCTTTCTACAATTTCTAATTACATGGCAGTAATAGGGTTGGTGGTAGTTCCTAGTTCTGTGGGTTTGAGTTAATTTGTGTTGTTTATGTTAAGTATGTATATTTCAATAGAGACATGCTCAATACAAAGGGCTGAAATAAATGAGAAATCGCAGAATAACTGCACAAATTAAAACAGAGTAACACAAATAAACCTATTTTTCTTGTTCTCCGAAAGTGAAGTATTTCCTGTTGCACACACCAAACAAGTCAGTACAAGACTAAGGACACAACAATCAGCTGCTAAAATATTCGCTGCTAGTATTAGTGGAGAGAAATGCTGCGCCTACGCAAAAGACGTGTAAGGGAAATGAATGCAACACGATTATAGTAATCAGTCATTAGCGAACATTGTAGTTCGTTATTCATAATTATGTATAACAGGATATTGAAAAAATTAAGTTAGAGATTTTTATTAAAACGTTTCTTATATACTGTTATATTATTTGGGCTGCAAAAATAGCCATTGTGGGCCACGAGTTTGACATGCTTGCTATAGAGGCTTTTAATATTTTGTTGAACTCTATTTTGGGGAAAAGTTGGTAAAATCATTTGGTTTTAAATTGCTATTTTAAATGATTGATCATGGTAGGCATTATAGAGTGCATGAGATTCAGAGAGTAGGACTTTGGGAGTTAGGCATTGTGAATGGAAGAAGCAGATAGCACAGACTTTTTTTCTTTGTATAAAAGTTGTTCTCTTTCATTTTGCTCCAGAGAGAATTCTTTCCCTCCCATTCCCCAAAGAAGTGAGGAGTCTGGAGAGGTGTCCTGGTGACTTGACATGATGTGTATGGAAATTTTCAAATGTCATTTGTCCTGTGGACTTGAACTTTGCATCTTCTCTCCTTTCCATTGACTTTGTGTTGATCAGAGCCAAAGGACTCTATACCCTATGCTACACAATCCTGTCATGATTTTTAGGCTGGAGCTGGTAGACTATCCTCCTATATAGTAAAAGCCTAATATGCAAATTGCCCCCTTGGGCGGTTCGACCAGAAGTTCCATCGGGAATTCAACCTCTTGCTATGATGTGTGCTGACCACCAGGGGACAGTGGAAGCACTGCCGGCCCATGGGCCCTGATGAGAGCGAGACTGCGGTGGGATGGTGGAGCCTGGCGGGGTCACTGCCCAGCTCCCAGGCACTGAGGGAGCTGGGGTGGGGGGGAAGGGAAGGGGACCCCTGGCTCCAATAGATCGCGATTTTTTTAAAAGAAAAAAATAAATAGAAAGAAAGGGAAAAACAAGACCAGGTATATAGGGGAACTTTCCTCGGAAAGAATAGCATTTTTGTGAGTCAAAGGAGGAAGTTTACAGAATGGCAGTGGGTGGTTTGGTTGTCTGGGAAGAAGCTACTCAGCCTTTTCTTTGGTCCTTTTTTAAAAATATATTTTTATTGATTTTAGAGAGGAAGGGAGAGGGAGAGAGAGTAGAAACATCAATGATGAGAATCATTGATCAGCTGCCTCCACGACCCCCACTGGGGATTGAACTGTGACCTCCTGGTTCATAGGTCCAAACTCAACCACTGAGCAACACTGGCCAAGCTAGATTTCTTTTCTTGCAGGATTATTTCACCCCCCTCCAGTTTTATTGAGATATAATTGATATTGTATAAACTTAAATTTTATAATGTGATGATTTGATGCACATATATATTTCTGCAGGATTCTGAGAATGTTCTCTATAATGGTTTATCTTGAATAGTTAATACAGGCACATAGTACAAAAATGAAAAGATATAAAAAAGATATGATAGCCCTAGCTGGTTTGGCTCAGTGGATAGAGTGTCAGCCTGCGGACTGAAGGGTTCGATTCCTGCCAAGAGCACATGCCCAGGTTACGGGCTCAATCCCCAGTGTGGGGCGTGCAGGAGGCAACCGATCAATGATTCCCTCATCATGTTTCTCTCTCTCTCCCTCTCCCTTCCTCTCTGAAATCAATAAAGATATATTTAAAAAAAATATATGCTATAAAAATTAAGCCTTCCTCTGCCCTCTAGAGAGGTTCTTCTTTCTGAAGAAACTACTGTTTCCAGTTTCTTATTTATTCTTCTAAAGAACAGTTTAGATAATAAAATACTACTTTATATGTATCCACTCTACTTCAACTCATTGCCATTCATTCCTTGGGTAGACTTGTAACTTATGTATATTGGCCAGTTACTTGGCTTTTAATGACTTATACCTAGACCTGGATCCTTAAAAGGTAATTTCCAGGCTTGAGAATTACAAAGCATGATGTAGTGAGAACTATGTGAAGCTCTAGCATAGCTACAAGATGCTCTATTCCTGACCTGAGACAGTTGTGGAGAAAGAGAAATTAGTTCCTTTTATTTCCATCTGCTGATCTGAATTGGCTGGTGGGAAATATAGTCAGCATTAATACATGTGGTTGGCCATTTCCATTTGGAACTTGTAGACAAGAGTTAGAATCAGGGCCTTTTGTTTGTTGAGGATTTGTGTTGCCGTTAGAGTCTTAGGAAAATTCTCTATGATTAAGATGTGGGAATAAGCTGCTTTATATCAGGGTGTAAGCTATGCTTAGCCAACTTAATGTAATTGCTATTTCTGCTGCACTGTCTAGATGAGGAGAGGGTAAACATATATAGGGCCTCTATTAATTAATTGAATATTTATTGAATACCTTGCATAGCTGCATTTAAGGGGATGCAGAAGTAATCATGGCTTCTGATTTCAATGAAATTATAGTTAGGTAGCAAGGTGAACATGATATATAAAACTATAGCACTTAATACTAAAGTATAATTGTCAAAAATGATTAAAAATAAAGTATAATTGTCATAGGAATTCATACGAAAATGGAGACCAATAAATTAAGCTGGTATTGACAGGAAAGATTTCCTGGATAAAATGGACTTGAGCTGGAATTTGTAGAATGGACAGGAAAAGCAGAGGGAGGCATACCTTGGAGGTGCTTATCTCATGTTCCTTACACGGAACTTAAATTCACTTTTCAATTGAAAATGTAATACATGCACATGATAAATTCAAATTGTACAATGAAAACTGTTCCATTCCAATTGTCTAATCTTATTATTCAAAGTCACTCACTATTAGCAGTATCTTTTCATAAATATTTTTATTAATAATTATAAATATATACATATATACAAATCCCTTATTTATTTTTTAAAATCCTCACAGGAGGATTTTTTTCCATTGCTTTTTACAGAGAAAGTGGAAGGGATGGAGGGAGGGTGAGAGAGAGAGAAATATCTATGTGACTGGGTATCAAACCTGCAACCCAGGTATGTGTGTTGACTGGAATGGAACCAGAGACCCTTTGGTTCATGGGCTGATGCTCTAACCACTGAACCACTCAAAATAGCCAAGGCTATTTTATTTTTTTAAAATTTACTGGGGTGACATTGGTTAATAAGATCATATGTTTCAGGTGTACATGTCTATGACACAGGATCTGTATATTGCATTGTGTGCCCACCACCCAAAGTCTTTCATCACCATTTATTTGGCTTCTCTAACCCTTTACTACTCTCTCCCCCATCCCTTTCCCTCTGGTAATCACCAAACTGTTGTCTGTGTCCATGAGTTTGTTTTACATCCCACATATGAGTGAAATCATATGGTTGTTTCTTAGCTTTTTCTCACTGACTTCGCTTAGCATGATATTCTCAAGGTCTATCCATGTTGTCCCAAATGGCAGTATTTCATGAACACTTTGGTTGTTTCCCTGTCTTGGCCACTGTGAATAGTGCTGCAATGAACATAGGTATATGTATATCTTTGTGAATAAATAAAAACTTTGCCAAGTTTTTTTGGGTAGATAATCAGAAGAGGGATTGTTGGGTCATATGGTAACTGTATTTTCAATTTTTTGAGGAACTGTAATACTGTTTTCCATAATGGTTATACCAGTTTACATTCCAACCAGAAGTGAATAAGAGTTCCTTTTTCTTCACAACCTCTCCAACACTGTTATTACTAGTCTTGTTGACAGGTGATAGGTAGTATCTCATTGTAATTTTGATTTGCATTTACCTAGTAGCTAGTGAAGCTGAACATCTTTTCATAATCTATTGGCCATTTGTATGTCTTCTTGGAAGAAGTGTCTGTTCAGGTCCTCTGCCCATTTTTAAAAATTGGATTGTTCGTTTGGTATTGAGTTGTTTGAGTTCTTTATATATTTTGGATATTTACCCCTTGTCGGAGCTCTGTTTGCAAATATCATCTCCCATTCAGTTTACTTTTTTGTTTTGTTGGTGGTTTCTTTTGCTGTGCAGAAGCTTTTTTAGTTTGATATAGTTTCATTTATTTTTGCCTTTACTTCTCTTGCCTTTGGGGTCAAATTTGTAAAATCTTCTCTAAGACCAAGGCCCATGAGCTTAGTATCTATTTTTTTCTTTTATGTAATTTATTGTTTCAGATCTTCTATTTAGGTCTTTGATCCATTTTGAATTAATTTTTATACAAATCCATTTTAAAACACAAATAAAGGCAAGCTATATATACTGTTCTGTACCTTGATTTTTAAAAACTATATTTTTGTTTATTTCAGAGAGGAAGGGAGAGGGAGAGAGATAGAAACATCAATAATGGGAGTCATTGATTGGCTACCTCCTGCATGCCCTCCACTGGGGACCGAGCCTGCAAATCGGGCATGTGCCCTGACCGGGAATCAAACCCTGACCTCCTGGTTCATAGTTCGATGTTCAACCACGGAGCCATGCCGGCTGGGCTGTACCTTGATTTTAATATTTAATACCTCTCCATATTGGCAAAGTATTTCACTTTTCTTTTTGTTAATCCTCATCTGAGGATTTTTTTCCCCCACTGTTTTTTTTTTTTTTTTTTTTTTTTTTTTTAGAGAGAATGGAAGGGAGAGGGAGAGACACACAGAGAGAAACATCGATGTGAGAGAGACACATCGACTGGTTGCCTCCTGTACACACCTCAGGGGGCTGGGGATCGAGCCTGGAACCAAGGTACGTGCCTTTGACTGGAATGGAACCTGCAACCCTCCAGTCCGTCTGAAGGCTGACACTGTAATCCCTAAGCCAAAGCGGTGAGGGCTTTCACATTCTTTTCATTGCTGTGTAGTATTCCACTGTATAGGCATACTATGTTTATTTAACCAATTACCTATTGATGTACATTTATTATTACAGATAATAAAATGCAGCGAAAACTCTTGTACAGGCATATCTATATAATAAAAGCCTAAGCAACCATTATGGGGGAACGACCAGAACGACCCGTTCACTATGATGGGCACTGACCACCAGGGGGCAGACGCTCAAAGCAGGAGCTGCCCCCTGGTGGTCAGTGCACTCCCACAGGGGAAGTGCCCCTCAGCCAGAAGCTGGGCTCACAGCTGGCGAGCACAGTGGTGGTGGCGGGAGCCTCTCCTACCTCCGAGGCAGAGCTAAGGAGCAGTGAGCAGGCAGGCAGTAAGGAGCGAGGAGTCCCGGACATCCCCTGAGGGGTCCTGGACTGTGAGAGGGCACAGGACGGGTTGAGGGACTCCCCAGTGCATGCATTTCATGCACCAGGCCTCTAGTCTATAATAATAAAAGCAAAATATGATAATTAGACTGGACATCCTTCTGGATGATCTTCCAGACGAAGCTGGGGCTGTGAGGGAAGCCCAGGTCCCGGATGCCTGCTGGTAGCCCGGCGGGGAAGCCCGGGTCCTGGGTGCCAGAGGAAAACCGGTGCTGGCAGCCGGGGGGAAGGAAGGCCTACTCTTGTACAAACTTCGTGCATCGGGCCTCTAGTTTACATATAACTTCAAGTCTGTTTGTTGGAAAAATTCTAAGCAGCATGGGACTTTTAATCACCGACTGTGACAAGGCTGGATGTGGTAAGGATTAATATTCATCTGGTGCTGTTTTGAAAAGGTTATAGGAGCATGGTCCATAGAAGTTATTTCTTCATTAGGACCTGTCCATGTGGCTCTGACATGTGGCCACCACAAGCTGAACATTACTTACCATCTCTCTTGTTTCATTCTTCCTTCCTTGTAGACAAACCTACCTATCTTCAAGCTGAAGGAGTCCTGTGTACGGCGGCGCTACAGTGACTTTGAATGGCTAAAAAATGAGCTGGAACGAGATAGTAAGGTATGGCCCTGTTCCCTGTGTGGCACCCTTGGAGGACAAGATCTCTGTAGGCTGATAGGGCTTAAGATCAGAGTCTATAAAATCTTGAAGGCAACGGAGAGGGTGAACACACTCTAGCTACCAAGTCCCAATAATTTGGATCTGGGTGATAATCTGTGAAACTTGAAAGTGGTAATTTCAGGACAAATCTTAAAAAGAAAGTATTACTTCACTTAGTGGCTAGTAAAGTCATACATATTAACTCCTATAGATGCACAAAATTGAAAGTATATTGGCAGAAAAGGCCTAGCTAGATTCTTGGATGGTAGTGGATTGTTAAAGAAAATGAGGGGTATTTGGAGTTTATTTCCTTTCTTTTGAAATGGTAAACCTGTCCTCCCACCCAAGCAGTTGAATTAATTTTTTTAAGCATTGCCCCATGTACTGAAGGGTCCCAAGTTCGATTCTTAGTCAACATACCTGGGTTGCAGGTTCCATTGATTTTTTAGGAAGAATGGGAAAGGAAAAGACAGAGAGAAACATCGGTGTGAGAGAGACATATCAATTGGTTGCCTCCTGCACATGCCCTGATGAGGGCCAGGGATTGAACCTACAGCCTAGGTATGTGCCTTGACCGTAATCGAACCCAGGACCCTTCAGTCTGCAGGCTGATGTTCTATCTACTGAGCCAAACCGGCTAGGGATGGATTAATTTTTATATCTATATATTTTATTGATTTTTTTACAGAGAGGAAGGGAGAGGGATAGAGAGTTAGAAACATCGATCAGCTGCCTCCTGCACACCTCCTACTGGGGATGTGCCCACAACCAAGGTACATGCCCTTGACCGGAATCGAACCTGGGACCCTTCAGTCTGCAGGCTGACGTTCTATCCACTGAGCCAAACCGGTTAGGGCTGGATTAATTTTTGACCTGAGCCATCCTGACTGTTCTTATGATCAGTTCTGGCAAGTTGTTGGCTGTGGGATAGGATGGACCCTCTGCCTTAAGAAATGTGATATACAGTGGATTGCCATCCCATTCCCTCTCTGAGTTCTCCCATGTGGCTGATCTTTTACGTCTGCCTGCAGATTGTAGTACCACCACTGCCTGGGAAAGCCTTAAAGCGGCAGCTCCCTTTTCGAGGAGATGAAGGGATCTTTGAAGAGTCCTTCATTGAAGAAAGGAGGCAGGGCCTCGAGCAGTTTATTAACAAGTAAGCAAGTTCCTGGGGGCTGCTCTAGCTACTTTTTCCATCTTGGTCTTTCTGTGTGTTTAGTTTGTCTCCTCTTTTGTAATGGGTAATATGATATAGTGCAGCAGTTCTCAATCTGTGGGTTGCGACCCCTTTGGCGGTCGAACGACCCTTTCACAGGGGTTGCCTAAGACCATCCTGCATTTCAGATATTTACATTATGATTCATAACAGTAGCAACATTACAGTTATGAAGTAGCAATGAAAATAATTTTATGGTTGGGTCACAACATGAGGAACTTATTTAAAGGGCCAGAAGGTTGAGAACCACTGATGTAGTGCCTATTGTGTGGTGGGGGTGACTGGACAGTAAAACTCCATTCATTTGAGCTGAATTCTGATCCTGTACCTCATGGCCTGAGAAAGCACTGCATGTTGATGTGTGTAGGGATTTTCCCCTACCTTACCCCTCTATCTCTCTTCCTCTCTACAGCATTATGGTTGAAGTGGTGTCCTGTTGTTGTCTGCTGCTTGCTTGAACCTCAGGGCTGATCTTGTCCTTCCTCCCCTGTCTACACCCCCATCCCTCTGCAAATTCTCTCCTATTTCAAATACTACTGATAACCATCTTGATCTCTTTATAGAATTGCGGGGCACCCACTGGCTCAGAACGAACGCTGCCTACATATGTTCCTGCAGGAGGAGGCAATTGACAGGAACTACGTCCCAGGGAAGGTGCGCCAGTAGGAGCCCCTTTCACCACTTGCCCTCTACTTCCCTGCTGAAATGACATTGGTTTTTACACTAAGCCTCTCTATCTTTCTTTGATCTGAAGTTGGCTGCCCATCCCCTGTCCTGATAGACTGTCTGGCATTGTGTTCCTTGGTGTCTCACTAAACCGTGGGCACTCTCCTAGAACCTCTTCTCTGAGGAGAGGTGGGAAACCACAGGCAGATGCCCTTTGCTTTGGATTGGGGGTGGGTGGGAGGATTGGACTGGAAGGCAATTTCTTGGGCATTTACCCATGCCAGAAGGCCAATCTCGGGGGCGGGGGTCTTGTGCGGGAGAGGCATTTGGCTACATACTGATGCTGCAAGTTCAGGGGATTTTTCTTACTCTTAGGTTTAACCAGAAATGCTGAGCAGGGAAAAACCCTGCTTTTCCTACATGCATGAATTTTTTCCTTTTTGGGAAGGTGGTAGAGACCCAAAAGCTATTCTTTTTTTCTTTAGGCCTGCTCCCAGTTTTCCCCCACAGTTTCTTTTGTTTCTCTCGCCCTTGTTGCTTTTCATGGCAGTAATCCTAGAATTTAAGCAGTTAGTTGTGTGGAGGAAGGTGTGTGGATTTTCTGGGCCCATTGTCGTGGCTGCTTCAGAGTCAGAAGAAAGCCATAGAGCAGTAGGGTAGCCCCTGTTGTTTAGCCCCTCTCTTTTGTGGTTCCCCACTCTGGCTACTTGTTCTTACCCACCTGCAGGCGAGTCATTATGGGCCAGCAGTCTCCCTTCCCAAGCCCGCTACTTTATGGGTTAAGCTTTGCAGTTTCGGTGGCTTGAGAGTTGGGTGCAACTCACCACTATCAGGTAACTCCCTGAAGGTGGGAATGGATCATTTTCTAGGTA